ACAGCGATTTGGCTAACAACCCATTGAAGTTTTGGCTAAAAAGTTAGCCTACATATTAGCCCTCCTGTATGGATAGGTTAGAACTAATTTTAGCCAGCGAACAATTAGCCCTTGGTATTCAGGCATACCCCTAGCTAGTTATTTTTGTTCGATTGAGGTGATTAGATTTAATCAGTTTTTTAGTTATCAAATGTACGGTGATTAAATTAGCTGTTTGCTCGAAATTGTAATTAGGAGAATTTCAAGCTAAGCACTTGGAAAATACTAGTCACAACCAGACAAAGTGAAAAATAGCTAGTAATCCAAAATCTTTGAATGTTGTGAACCATGCTTCACTTATATATTACTGGTGCGTGCTCCCTTCGTCTAAAAAAATACAATTCTCGTTTTTTGATGAGTCAAACAGTTTAAACTTTGACTAAATTTATATAAAAAATGTATTAGCGTTCATGATACAAAAATAAGTACCATTGGAATAGTTATAGAATATATTTTCATAATAAATTTATTTGAACACATAAATGCTAAGTACTATTTGCTATAAACTTGATCAAACTTGAGTCAGTTTGGTTGACACGGATCCTATAATTGCATTTTTTTGCGGACGGAGAGAGTACTATTTATAACTAGTGGTCCAAATTGCGTTATACCATATATATAGGTAACTCGTTCAAAACCACGAACATATATACAATCCAAGAGTTTATTCCTTTTTTAAGATAAAGACGACAGAGTTTATTCCTAAAGCGATGAAATGGTTCTTCATCAAATTAAACAGCATTCGATCATTGTATAGCTGGTGGCTAGCAATTAGCAACCACGTTGACGCTTAGTTTTGCAGCTTTAACCCAGCTAGCTGCTGCTTGCTCCATATCCATATGTGCTTCATAGCTTCATACTAGCTAGCAGCCGCATCAGCTTGCTATCGCTGTCCTCATGCACGTACGTTGAAGGCCCATCGTCTCCTCTCCACAGCAATGGTTGCAGTTTGCATATGATCCGCTCACCCTTTGCCTTTTGGCCTTTTCCCACCGAAGCGGCGCTGCGAGCTAGGCTCACACCACATTTCGCACTTACAGCTAGCATGCAGTGGGCGGAGCCAGCCCTGTTCATTGATTTCCTGAGATTTTTATTGTAAATTAATGCTTATACGTGAACTTAAGTCATGACGTAGTATTTATGACATCAGTGGAATTTTGGCTGAATCCGCTACTGATGCAGTCCTCGTCGTCTGACATGCCTTTTCCACTGCGGCTCCAAGCAACGCCCTCTTCAGTTTTGCTGCAACGCACACTGCAGCGTTCACTGTTGCGAAATTATTTTCACGACGGTCAAAAACGGTTTATATGGATGATGATTTTCAAAACTGACGCTACACCATCGATTATAAAGACGTGGGCCCTGTTCGCTTGAACTTATCAGCGGTACTTTTTCAGCGGAGTAACAGTGTTTTTCTCTCACAACAAATTAGCATAACATCAGCATCAGCCAAATTTCAACGAGCCGGACCGTGGCCTTTTAATTTATAGAGGCGGGCTTCCAACCGTTCTTTTGAAATTGATTTTCAGATAAGGTTATCTTAAACCAACCACCCATGTATATGCATTTTTAGAGACCCTTCAAATGTCAATGGCCATCTTTGTTTAAAATAAACCGCTTCTTAAAATACATTTGAAATTATAAAATTTTCAACCATATTTTATTTTATATTATCCCACCAGTTTTATGTAAACACACTATCAAATTTTACATAACATGGTCCAATATTTCACCATTTTGAAGTCATCAAATGGTTAGTAATAATGTTATATGCATTAAAACTAAAGTATTAAACACACACATTACATGTTGTTTACATTATATTTATAATGATTAGAGTGTCGATAGCACCAAATACAAAATGGTGTGCACAAGCACCGAGTTGCAAGAGGTATGCAAACATCACTAAATACTAAGCCTGAGCCTTGAGTAGAGCGTCAACTGGGTGGTCTAACTAGCCTAAGCACTTCATAAAAAGCACTACGCTAATCATCTAATATTTTTCTTAAGCAATTTTGGTAGTTAAAGCACTAGAGATGATCCTCCACTCACTAGAAATGTCCCTCAGCTCCAACAACAACCAAATGACCTGTTGGTGTATATATAGCCTCCATCCCTAGATATTGGCCTTGTTTGCTTTGCTCAAAAGCCATGACTAAAAGTACTGTTCGCTGATTTATTGTGAGAGAAAAATATTGTTCGTTCGCTGAAATAGTACGACTCATAAAAGAAGCGAACATGGCCATAGAAATTCGATGCCTACCACTTTAGCAGAGAAACATCATACAATGGATGAAGGAATAAGTCACCCTGATGGCTTATTTCTTTTGGTACACTTAAATTCTCATATTCGTGTGTTTACTCAACATACTAGTTCAAGTACTTTTTAGCGAACGAACAGTGCTTTCCTCTCATAATAAATTAGCATAAGCCAAATTTCAGCGAAACAAACAGGGCCCTACGTCGACCGTGTGTTTGTGAATGAAAAAGTACATGTCAGTTTCAGCTACCTTAATAATTATGCAGATAGCATCTACAAGTGGAGCACATGATGAAGTCAAGTAAGAGTAGTCTTTGTTGGATTTCGTTCAAAACCTTACGAAATCTTTCATGCTCCGCTCCTTATACTCATGAAATCTTTGTTCCTTTTCAATAAGGCTAAATACGGTTTTGATTCAGACTTCACATGATTCATGTGATGAATGTGTCAATTACAAAAATATAATGAAGGGAATTTCTTGTTTCTGCCCCTACTCAAGAGTCTAATTGTGATTTTACCTCTACATTTTAAATTTTGTGATTTTATCCTCATAGTTTTGGATTGAAGAGTCTCTAGAATGAAATGCACCATGGGTCTTTATTTTTTCCCATACACTCATTTACCGAGTATTTCACTCATTATAATATCGGCAGTGCTAGCGCCCGGACGTCCGCGCTGCACTCCGTTTCCCGCGCTCGGGCCAGCACATCCCCGCCCAAGCCTACATTTCGCGCCCCACGCGGGGCCCGCGCCACCAGACCGCGCAAGGACCACCCGCGCCCTCTTCCCTTCTCACACGCATTGCAACATGTGCAACACCGATCTACTTTTACAACATCCAGATGAAGCACTTGAAACATACGTTCTAAATAGCTAAAACACTTGTAACATACGTCTGAAGCACTTGCAAAACACCAAAAAAAACTTAAAAACATGTGTATAGCCATTGCAAACATATGTAAGCATCAAGATGAAACACTTGCAACATATGTATAAAAAACACCTGAAACACTTGCATATATATGCAACATCCCAATCTAGTTTTGCAATATCCGAATGAAACACTTACAACATACGTCTAAAACAAATAAAATATTTAGAACATATACTTGAAACATACGTGTATAGCCCATTGCAACATGTGCAACATCCTTATGAAACACTTGCAACATACCTCTAAAACATCTGAAATATTTAAAATGTACGCTTGCAACATGCATCGTATATCGGTGCGGCCTCCTCCGCCGTCTGCATCGGGGCACCGCAGCCATAGTAGGAGGCGAGACCGAAGGGCTTCCACGGCAGGGCCTGATGCCTCTCCTTGCGCGGCGGCCTCAGTGGCTAGCTAGCGGCCGAGGGAGCGGTCGCCATCGGGCGAAGCGGGCCGCAGAGTGGAAGAAGTGGTAGGAAGCAGCGGGGCGGCGCGGTGGAGCAAGAGAAGGAGCATTGCGGGGTGACCGTCGACGACAGAGCGAGCCGTAGAGTAGGAGCAGCGGGGCGACCGACAGAGCAGGAGCAGACAGGGTGACCGTCGACTCGCGGAGCGGAGTGGGTCTCTCGTGGGACGGGTTTCTCCCCATCTCTCCCAAGCCGCGATGAACGCGACCTCCGACCCCGACTCTTCCGGTTCCAGTGCGACTGCGGGGGTCTGCGCGAGGTGGGAACGACCGTCGGCCCCGGCTAGGCCTTGAGGCCCAAGCGCCAGCGGCAGCGGTTCCCGCGCTGGCCGTCGCCTCGTCGAGCGGCACCCCTGCGGCCCCGCCGCGACACCGGCCCGCGTGGCCACGCGCAGCGCTCAGCCAGTCGGTCGGCACCGGGTGTGCCAAGCAGCTGGCCGCCCGCCCAGCTCGCCGCAGAAAATATTTTTCGAAGATATATTTTTGGAATATATAATGAAGAAAAGCACTCCATCCTCTGTTCGCCTAGCTGTGCGCCTCGGCACACCTCTCCACTGGAGCCCCAGCCAGGCCGCCACACGCTGCCTGCCGCCCGCCGCCGCTCTCTTTATGCGGTCTTTGGCAAGCTTCTCCCGTGTATTGGTTCATTCATTATGGTAATTTCTTAGCGTAAGATTTCATCAAAAAAAATTCTCAATGCAACACCTCAATCTAGTGCCTTTGGTAATTTATCCCCATAAGGTCTTATTTGATGTGTATGTATTCGTCTCAATTCATATGTGTTGAAGTGAATTAGAGCGAAATTAAACTAAATTTCATTCCAATTCACTCCAACATATATGGATTTTTTTTCTCGAATACGTAAAAGATTTACGTATCATTGTATTAAAGATAAGAGTTTAAAGAAAACAAACAACACGCTTCTATCGAACGTCGAAGGAGGTCGACCTAACCCAACTAAAGCTGGACCAACCTAGCAAAAGACCTCATGTTTCGATATTACTTAAAAAAAAAACTAATATCGACGCAGCTTCGTGGTCTAGTGGCCTTACGTCTTTGTAGCTTAATTCGTAATTTATCCCCGTGACACTTCATGTCGTGCTTCTCGAGATGCATTAAGGAAGTTCGTTTTTTTTAGAGGTGCGTCTGATTGATTTGTTGCGTCCGACAATCCGTCTCTTTCCACGTCAGATTGATCTTGATCGAGGCGGAAAACAAATCCGTCTCTACCCACCAAGGCACCGAAGCCACCAACCGCCGCCATCGAGTCCGCCGCGCCCGACGAGCGAAAGCAGGAGAGGCCGATGAGGCCCGCGACGTCGCCGGCGAGCGTGGCGGCGGACTTCGCCATGGGCGGCGCGGCCGCCGTGGTGGCCAAGACGGGGGCCGCGCCGGTCGAGCGTGTCAAGCTGCTGCTCCAGAACCAGGCCGAGATGCTGCGCCGGGGCACCCTCACGCGCCCCTACAAGGGCATCGCCGACGCCTTCGCCCGCGTCCTCCGCGAGGAGGGCCCCGCCGCGTTCTGGCGCGGCAACCAGGCCAACGTCATCCGCTACTTCCCCACCCAGGTCCGTCTCCGTTTTTTTTCTCCTTTTCCCTTTTATACAATTGCTTGATGCGCCTCCATTGCATATGTGCATTGCTTTCTCTTACTGCCAAGCTGCTTATGAATTTGACACCGACTCCTAATCGAATGTCCTACTCACAAAATTAATTAGCAATCAATGCTATGCGTGGATTATCCGTTCCTGAGTGCAGAAATTACAGAGCCAGAAATCCAAAATTCTTTTTTTTCTTCGGGGACTCAGAGTTCCTGAACCCACATGTTTGTTACGGCCTCCATTGTTCACAATTCCTTTCCACCACAGAGAAGAGAAAAACAAACAATTCTAAAGGTGTTGTCTCGCCCCCATTGTTCACATTTCCTTTCCATCACAGAAAAGAGAAAAACAAACAATTCTAAATGTGTTGTCTCGCCGATATCCTCCATCCTTTCGTCGCAAAGAAAGCTGTGTGCATTTTGCTAAAACAGTTTTGGAAAGAGAAATGGCTTGGTAATATGACCACTTATGTGAACAAGGAGTGCTTTCTCTATAAATACAATTCAGTGATTCACATTTGCACTGCACTTTTATATAGTGAATCTTCATAAATGAAAATACACTAGGCCTGTTTAAGGAGAGTGTGGGGTGTGTGTTTGTAAGGGCTCTTTCCCTTTATTTTCTTTCTCAATTCTTAATATAATGATACACAGCTCTTGTGCGTGTTCAGAAAAAGAAAGTAGGCCAAATTTTAAGTCATACTTAGTTTTAGTGATGACAGAGAAAACATCCAGACTCAGCATTTGCATCTGTATGGTTTTATGCATTTTACTACAACGGCTTTAATTTCTGTGCAAAGAGCAATCCTCCAACCTTATGCAGATCATGCGGTTCAACTATATGGCAGCTATCTTTACAGTCAATTATTCGAGCTGTGTTGTCAGACAGTTAAATGAGCATGTGCTGCTGTTTCCTGTAGTCTGTCTAACTGTGCTTAATGTTGCATTATCTATGTGTGTCGCACCGCACCCTGGAGGCGGTGGTGTTATGGTTCTTTGTGTCCTATGGGTGGCCATTCATATTTATGCTTTGTCAATAAATTTGAACTTGTGTCACTTATATGTGTTTTGCACGTAGAGTTGAGTGTGAGGTAGCGCAAGCTAAACTCTTTATTAAGTGTGAACTGAGGCCTCTTCTTTAAAGATGCTGAGGCCGGAAAATGAATCTGTTTTCCCCTTCATGACAAAAAATCAAACCTAAATGAAACTTCCATTGTGCAGGCTTTTAACTTTGCATTCAGGGGCTACTTCAAAAGCTTCTTTGGCTATGACAGGGATAAAGAAGGAAAGTGGAAGTGGTTAGCTGGAAATGTAGCCTCTGGCAGTGCTGCAGGAGCTACAACATCATTGCTGCTATACCATCTAGATTATGCAAGAACAAGGCTAGCTACTGATGCAATTGAATCATGGGGAACCAAACGCCAGTTCAGGGGGTTGCTGGATGTTTACAAGAAGACACTTACAACCGATGGCATGTCTGGACTATATCGAGGTTTCAGTGTGTCTATTATGGGAATCACCTTGTACCGGGGTCTATATTTTGGTATCTATGATAGCATGAAGCCTCTAGTTCTAGTAGGCCCATTGGAGGTACTGACAGTCTCGTGAAGTAGTATGACTAACACAGGAGTTTCCTGCTAAGTTCTATATGGCACCCTTAACTTCTGTTTTTGTTGCTATTCAGGGGAATTTCTTCGCCAGTTTTGCCTTGGGCTGGGCAATAACTACATTCTCTGGGACCTGTGCCTATCCATTCGACACGGTCCGTCGTAGAATGATGTTGACTTCAGGACAACCATTTAAATACAAGAACGGTTTCCATGCAGTAAAACTGATAGTTTCAACCGAAGGGTTCTTCACATTATTCAGAGGTGTTGGTGCAAATATTCTCTCAGGGATGGCAGGAGCTGGAGTTCTTTCTGGGTACGATCAACTCCAACGGTTGGCGAGCAGGCATGGCCACAAATTTTGAGCGCAAGATGAAAGGGGCATTGAAATGATGTGCATATGGATATGAATATATTCATCCTTGGTTGAAGTCCAGATCATTCAAATGGGATGCACAAGCAAGAACCCCTGAGCCTGAAGAAGTTCACAAAAATTATTGGGGAAAGAAAAAGGAAAAATTTCCCTGGAGATTAATCTCACAAGGAAGGAGATGGATTCATTGCAACAAAAGATAACTCTTTTAAACAGAGAGTGCTGAATACTATATTTAATGTGTAGATCTAATCCTTCAAGTATGAATACATGTACATGTTGGTGTTTTGATCATTTGGGGGCAACAGTGCCTTATCAATGTGAAATGTTAATCCAAATCCTTCAGTTGGTCATGACCAAACTATTTTTCTAAGGAAAAAGAGATGGATCTCTTGACTCTTGAGGAAGGTTCTTCAGTTCCAGATTTGGATTTCTGCTAACACCATATGAGCATGTCATGCACATGGCATTTTTGCAGGGGCGACAGACCTTTTTCGAAGAGACAGGATTCAAGTGGATTTCGCATCCAATAATCTGTCCATCACTCAAAAGAGGAGTAAAGGAGCCTCCGATCCCCATCTGTCTCCGATTCTGATCATCGCTGGGGAGCTGAGTAATTGCCACCGTGCTGGCAGCACTGAACAACTGAAAGGAGGGGAGGCCGATGAGCCGTGTGAGCTCACTGTCAAGTCTGGTGATGGACTTCTCCATGGGAGGTGCCAGCAGAATGTGTGAAGCTGATGCTCCTGAAGACCAGAACTAGGATGAGATATTGTGGCTGGTGTCCCTCATGTATTCATACAATGGCATCACGACACATTCGCCCACATCCTCCGCAAGGAGGGTGCACCTTCAACCAGGCCAGCATCATCTGCTACTTCCCACCCAGGTACAGTCTCCTTTTCTTTTCCCCGTGTAGAGTCATTGCTTGGTTCGCCTTTGATGCATTGTCTTCTCTTCCTGCCAACCTCCTTATGAATTTGATGCCAAGTGTTAATTGAATGCTCTGCTCATAAAATTAACTAGCAATCGATACTATGCATAGATATTGCAGCACCAGAATGTTTCCTTCGAGAACTTCTACTTCCTGCACCCACATGCTTGTTATGGCCCGATTTCATTCCATTACATCACAGAAAAGAAAAACAATGTCACAGCTCTTGAGGTATTGTCTGGCTGGTTCCTCCATCCTCTCATTTCCATGAATGTTATGTGCATATTGAAAGCAAATTTCTTAGAACTAACACTTGAAATTTGGAAATTGCAATAGCTTGGGATGGTAATCTGACCGGTCATATACTCACGTGTTCATGGAGTGGTCCTCTTTATATAGTTATAGTTATATATACACTTCACATCCAGTGGCGGACCCAGGATTTCAGAGTAGGGTATGCCCATGGCCAAGAAATCAAATCGAGGTCGCAGCAAAGGACTCGAGAAGTCGGTGCCACGGGCGCCGCGTGGGCCGCGCCATCGTCGAGCCGGAGCCCTCGAGCGGGCGGCGACCGAGCGCGCTACGCCACCTGCGTGCGGGGTTGTGTGGTCGCGCCGAACCCCAGGACGAGCGGCGAGTGGGAGGCGGGTCGGGCGGCGGGTTGGAGGCCAGCGGCCAGCGACGTTCCGGTGCGGGGTGGGGCGGCGGGCTGCGGCGCCGCGACGGCCGCAAGGGCGGGGGCGCGGGCGGATGGGGATTGGGGAGTGGGAAGGCTCGATGGGCCATTGGGCCGTCCGGTCGAGTGTGGCCTGTGGGCTTTTTTGTGTTTGACGCAAATCAGAGCCTGAAGATAGCAAAGAATAGCAATTTGAGACCTTAACTATATAATACATGTATATACCTCTACAAACTACTAATTTTTTCCCAAAAATATACCCAGGCACAACTATGGGTCCGCCCATGTTCACATCTGCATTGCACTACCGTGCTGTTTGGTTCGTTTCTCAGTAACATAAATGGAAACAAAATCAATTCAAATGGTATGTGTGGCGGTAACATCGGCATCTTTAATTTGTTTACATTTGCGTTACAGTGCTGCAACCAAACAGCACGTACAATATAGTGAATCTTCATAGATGAAACTAAACTATGCCCAAGTTTTTAAGGCATACTTATTTTTATTGATGACATAAGAAAGACCAGACTTTGTATCCATATGTTTGTATGCACCTTACTTGAAAGGCACAAAATTTCTGTGAAAAGAGCAATCCTCCAACTTATTCAGGTTATGCAGTTGAACTATATGTCAGCTATCTTTACAGACAATTGTTCTAGTTGTGTTATCGGACACAATTAAATAAATATTTGCTTCTGTTTCCTGCAGTTGTGGTGCCTATGGTGTTCTAGCATAGCAGGTCCCAAGCCCTAATAAAGGAATAGGGTTGTGTTAGGCTTGGCGAGCCAATGTAAAAACTTAACCACTAGTATGGAGATGAAACCCAAAATAACCCCGTTGGGGCGTAACCCTCTTAGCGACGCGCCATGCCGGAACCTGGGTATGGTGTTAAATGAGCAAGGGTCGGGTTGTCACCCCCGTGACGCGCCGTGTCATGATCTGGGCACGGTGTCAAGTGAGCAAGGATCGGGTCGTCATACCCTCAGTGGCGCGCCACATCGGCGCCCAAGTGTGGTGGAAAATGAGCAAGGGTCTTCACACCTGACTCGGCGGGTGCGAAGGGTAAGGAAGCTAGTCGAGCCAATTAGGATCCGTTTAGGTAGTTGGAATGTAGGGTCCCTTACGGGTAAGTTAAGAGAGTTAGTTGACACAGCGGTTAGGAGGCGTATAAATATCTTGTGCGTCCAAGACACTAAATGGAAGGGACAGAAGGCGAAGGAGGTGGACAATACCGGCTTCAAGCTCTGGTACACAAGGACAACTTCAAATAGAAATGGAGTAGGAGTTTTGATTGATAAGAGCTTCAAGGATGGTGTGGTGGAGGTGAGAAGACAAGGGGATAGGATCATCTTAGTTAAACTTGTCATTAGTGATATGGTCTTAAACGTAATTAGTGCGTATGCCCTACAAGTAGGCCATGATGAGAGTGCTAAGAGGCTTTTTTGGGAATACTTAGATGTCTTGGTTAGAGCTGTTCCTAATAACGAGAAACTCTTTATAGGAGGTGATCTTAATGGCCATGTAGGTACTTCAAGTGCAGGTTTCGAGGCGGCTCATGGGGGTTTTGGTTATGGTAGTAGGAACCAGGAGGGAGAGGTAGTCTTAGACTTTGCTATAGCTTTCGATCTAATGATAGCTAACACTTTCTTTAGTAAGAGACAGTCCCATTTAGTGACCTTTAGTAGCAGCCAATACTCTAGTCAAATCGACTTTGTCCTTACAAGGAGGGATAAACGACCATGCGTGGACTGTAAGGTGATACCTGAAGAATGTGTGGTCTCTCAACACAAGCTGGTGGTGGTTGACTTCCACTTTCTGGTGTAAGCTTGTAGGAACAAACAAGTTAGGGTTGCTAGAACGAAGTGGTGAAAATTGGAAGTAGAGGCATCAAAGGTCTTTAAGGAAAGGGTTATTGATGAGGGCCCTTGAAAGGGTGAAGGCGATGCAAATAACGTGTGGGAGAAGATGGCAACATGCGTTCGGAAGGTTGCTTCAGAGGTGCTTGGAGTGACCAAAGGGAGTAGATACGACTCGAAAGACGCTTGGTGGTGGACTGAAGATGTGCAAAAGGCTATTAGGGAAAAGGAGTGCTATAAGCGTTTGTACCAAGACAAGTGTACAGACAACATAGAGAAGTACAAGATGGCAAAGAAGACTGCAAAACGAGCGGTGAGTGAGGCAAATGAGCGTGCATATGAGGACCTTTACCAACGTTTGAGTACGAAGGAAGGGGAGAAGGACATTTATAGGATGGCTAGGGCTCACGATAGGAAGACAAGGGACTTCAACCAAGTTAAGTGTATAAAGGATGAGAGGGAGCATCTCTTGGGGAAGGAGGATGAGATTAGGTATAGATAGCAAGAGTATTTTGATAAATTGTTCAATGGTGAAAACGAGAACACCAACGTTCAGCTGGATGACTCGTTTGATGACACTACTAGGCGCTTTGTGCGGAAGATTCAAGAATCGAAGGTTAGAGAAGCCCTGAAAATGATGAAAGGGGGCAAAGCGATGGACCCTGATGGTATCCCAATCATGGTGTGGAGGTGTCTTAGAGATATAGCTATAGTATGGCTAACCAAGATGTTCAACGATGTCTTTTGATCGAACAAGATGCCTGAGGAGTAGAGAAGAAGCATATTAGTATCAATCTACAAGAACACGTGAGACATCCAAAGTTGTACTAATTATCGGGGAATTAAGTTGATGAGCTACACTATGAAGCTATGGGAGAGAGTCATTGAGCAGCGCCTGCGAGGAATAACGCAGATATCTACGAACCAATTTGGTTTCATGCCCCGAAGGTCAACCACAGAAGCAATCTTCTTAATAAGACAAGTTATAGATGCACATGGTTTTCATTGACTTGAAAAAGACTTATGACAAGATACCAAGAAATGTTATGTGGTGGGCATTGAACAAACACAAAGTCCCATCAAAGTACGTGACCCTCATCAAGGACATGTACAACAATGCTGTGACTAGTGTTCGAACAAATGATGGTAACACATCTTACTTCCCGATTAAAATAGGACTATCAAGGGTCAGCCTTGAACCTGTACCTCTTTGCTTTGGTAATGGATGAGGTTAACAGGAATATTTAAGGGGATATCCCTTGGTGTATGTTGTTCGCTGATGATGTAGTGTTAGTGGACGAAAGCCAGGCGGGAGTAAATAGGAAACTAGAGTTGTGGCGGCAGACCCTTGAGTCTAAAGGTTTTAGATTAAACAGAACTAAAACCAAATACATGAGATGTGACTTTGGCGGAGTTGCACAGGAGGAGGGAGATGTGAGTTTGGAAGGTCAAGTAGTGTCTAAGAAGGATACCTTTCATTATCTAGGATCGATACTACATAGGGATGGAGATATTGATGCGGACGTTAGCTGTAGAATCAAAGCGGAGTGGATCAAGTGGCGACAAGCTTCTGGCATTATTTGTGACAAGAGGGTGCCACAAAAGCTAAAATGCAAGTTTTATAGAACGACGATTAGACCGGCTATGTTGTATAGAGCAGAATATTGGCCTACAAAGTTTCGACATGTTCAACAACTGAGTGTTGCAGAAATGCGTATGTTGCGATGGATTTGTGGTCACACAAGAATGGACCGAATTAAGAACGATGATATACGTGACCGCCTAGGGGTAGCACCAATTGAAGAAAAGCTTGGCCAACATCGTTTGAGGTGGTTTGGCCATGTCCAAAGGAGACCTTCAGAGGCACCAGTGTATTGTGGAGTCCTAAGTCAAGCTAATAATGTGAGGAGAGGTAGAGGTAGACCGAAATTGACATGGAGGAGGCAATAAAAAGAGATTTGGAAGCTTGAGATATACTTAGAGATCTATGTTTCAATAGGAGTGCTTGGAAAGCAGCTATTGAAGTGGCTGAACCGTGACTAGGGGCTCTTGGTGGGTTTCAACTCTAGCCTACCTCAAATTGCTTGGGACTGACAAGCTTTGTTATTGTTGTTGTTGTTCTGTTTCGTGCAGTTGTGTAACTCTACTCAATGTCAGCATTATCAAACATGGACCTCGAAACATGTATACACAGTCAATTCTTTGAGTGATGGATGAATATTTTTTTGTGAGAAAGATTCAAGATCTGATTCATGAGGCGTGACTACATGTTGATGCTAATGTTGGTGTCTCTTTGGTCATTGGGGCAAACCCTATCAATGTGAAATTTAAATTATAGTTAAGAGAAAAAGGTGGGGATGTGAATAGTACACTTGGAATTTCTTTGTTGAATCGTATTCTTCCCTCTCTGCAGTGAACCTAGATATAATAAGTACTTGTATATTATCATGACATTTGGTGGGAAGGCAGTTGGCCGCTCATGACATAAGAGGTGTGTGTGCAATTGAAGATTGTTAGCTGATTCCTTCATGAGTCACGACGATCAGCATAAGAGAGCCTTAAAATTTATATTCAACATTGTTAATTATTGCATCCCTCTTTCTACATCCATCTTTCATAGTCCTCAGTCAGCAGCATTGCTCCTCACCAGCTACCCCTAGGATTTGACTGCTTGACCCGAGTACACGGTTGCCACAACATCATGCATATGTACAAACAAATTTACACGGTTGCCACACATCATGCATATGTACAAACAAATTTGTGTTGATTGTTGTCCCACAGCGGTTTTATTATACAGTCTGAAAAGTCTTCTTTGCAGAACAATCCTTTTCACTCAACACACCTCTTAGTGTTTGTTTCCTATGCATTTTGATAGTAATGGATCTTTTAATAGCATGTATCATATGTTCCTGCTTCGTGTATGTTCTTTGAAGAACAATCCCTGTCACTTTTATACCTCTTAAATGTTTCTTTCCTTATGCTTTTTATCAATAATGGATTTTACAGTAACATTTAAGGTTTCCCCTGCAGTGAGGAGTTAAATACATCTAAGTTTCCTTCCTACTTCTGGCCTGGATCACGACTAATATACCTGAATGTTGCTTCTAGGTGGTGCACAGGCACCTGGTAAATCAAACTTTCTATGGTCAATTGGTGATAGTCTTGCTTTGACAATATATTTTCCCTTTAGACAAAAAATATATTACTATAGTGCGCCACCATTGTTTTTTGGCTAGCTCCACCCCCGCTGGTGTCCTTAGTTGTGAGCTTTCATGTAATTTTAGAGATGATACAGATAATCTTGAGTGTTGCTTTTAGGTTGTAATCGTATCAATGGTAAGGAACTCCTGTCATTATTTCATTCTGCAATCATTACTTGTATGCCTGTTACTTCATACTTTTGTTACTGTTGCTGTCCTGATGGTTCAGTACCAGTACTGTTAATTGTTTCATGGCAGATGACAGTGAAACAAAATTAAGATGCATTCAAAGAGTTTAGTGCTTGGGCCTTGGGAGGATATTTATTGTGCTCATCAGCCAGTATGTAAGTGAACCATCACATGCGCATGCATATCTTTTGTGTGTTGGTTCATTGTTAGATCAGAAACAGAAAGGAGGGGAATTTTTTTCCTTTTGTTTTTTATTTATGGTGGTGGTGGTGGTGCTGCTGCTGCTTGGATGTAATTGTGGCTGAGCCTTTTGGAACCTAAAATTGAAAGGTCCTCTTCAAGTCTTGAAGTTATGGTTTTTCTTGCATATTAAGAATAATATAATGTAGGCTAGGCTTTTTAAACCCCTGCCAGATTGTCATGCATCAGTATATACTTGTCATTTCAGTTAAGAAAATCGGCTTAAAGACTTGACTTAAACCCCAGTTTTGTTGTCAGTCTTATCGTTTGCTACTTTGATCTCCCTGTACTATTATTAATACCATTCTCTTTGCTGGTGGTGGCTCCCGTTGGGTTTGCCCTGTTGATCCTTTGTTAAATATACTTCCAGCTTAATTTACTAAAAGTCTTAAACCTATGTTCCAGCGCTTTTAATATTTAAATCAAACTATAATTGATTACGGTGCGTGTTCATTAGTGCCAAATGCTGGACAATTTACTGTTGGATACTCCCACTGTTATACGGGGGCGTTAATCAATATCAGAAAGGAGAAAGGAAATCTAAAGCATTGTGGAAACCATTAGTACTTGATAGCTAATGTAGAAGAAACCTCCATCCTAAGTCGTTCCCCTGCAGATGTGCATAGAACTAAAAAAAAAAAAAAAAAATGGACCTGCGAGGGTATGACTACTCCCAGGCATTGTATTAAGAAGAAGACATTCTCACGCAGGTCCAGAAAACCCCTGAACCCCTGCCCCACCCTTACACAACGGCACCGTCGCCCTGTGAGAACAGGCCGGTCCTTAGACCTGTGCTTTGGTGTGGGACAGATGAGGAGATATTTTTAACCCCAGCCTAAAATTCGCTTCTACGGGGAGTTGAACTCAGGACCTGAGAACCGCCGGGACGCTGTAACCAGTTGGACTAGAGGCCCTTTGGTAGAGGCCCTTTGGCGATATGCATAGAACTAGCATTAAGAAGATCCAGGTGCTGATGCCTAATCTGTTGTGTGTGAGTTCCGTGGGGTGACAGATTGCAAACATAATAATATTTCTGATGGATAGCTACAACATGCCAGTCCCTGCTATTCTGGAGATCCCATCCATATGATCCAGAGCGCGAATCGGTGCCAGTCCCTGCTATTCTGGAGATCCCATCCATATGATCCAGAGCGTGAATCGGTGCTCTCTCAGCATCTGATAGGCTCATTTGTGCAATCTGCTACTCTGATATACCAATTTTTGTTTTCAGATTTTTGCATTTGTGCTAATCTGAACTTGGCATGTTGCGGGTGTAGGTGTGGCTCGCCTTCACTTTTCTCAGTTTCACAATAGATACATACAATAGTCAATTATTTAAGCCGAGCTAATCTACAATCAATTTCTCTTCAGTTAATCTTTTATTACACTTAACATTTAGTATAGGCCTTATGATTTATTTGAAATAAGGTTGGCTCAAGCCCAATAAATAAATTCAACAAAGATATGAGCTATAAATGACTGTACAACAAACTATATGTTCTGTTGCAAGTTGCAACACGAGGACATGCTTGTTATTAGTAATACTTAATGTATCTTTTAGAATATGTGTTTCTCTTAAAATTATTAGGTGTGTAACTGATGGGCTAGTATTTTTAGTTCTCACATTTGTGCGTATTTCCCATTTATAGATATAGAAATCAGAAAACATGACAATTTTTTTGTCTACTCCCTCCGTCCTACAATACAGGGCATTATGACTTATAAAATTTTTACTGAAATATTTTTTGGACTGATGCTTCTTTTTCGAAGAAGTCTAAAGTTGGAAAAAATTTCCATTATCTAATAAAAATGTTTAGATTTAGAAAAATTTTGTTAAAAAGAAAACCACAATTTAAGGAGAAAAATTTTAACTGGTTTTAATCCATGATACATACACAATTCAAATATTTACTTAAGTTACTTAAATTTTTTGAAATGTATTGTATTGCAAGACGAAGTAAGTATGAGCGTATGATTTTTTTTAAGAAAAAAGTGATTTGTATCTATGTCACTCGCTCCTCCTGCCCCAAAGGCCCAACCCTTTTGGTTGTTCAGAAAAGTTGGGCTTTGTGGACCTTTTTTGGCCCATTGAAGTCTTCTAGATGCCTGAAACGTTCACCTAATCGATAGACTCCTCTAAAAAAAACTAATCGATAGACACAAATATAATGTCCAATAGAAATTATTTCTATTTTGTCATATAAGTTCTTCACCGGATTCTTTTTATCCTTATAAATTTACCGTAGAGAATTAAGAAAATATGATTTCTAGTTTTAGAGCATCTTCTGAATGGGGACGAGCTCCGACATCTTTCGAATTTCGCACTGATAATTATGTCAGTATTATTCGCCTTCAGTTCAGCTGGCCCTGTATTGGTGAGATAACTTGCTAAACCACCAAAGAAAAACCCCAGCATGGCCAAACTAATGATTCTGAAGTTTGCTCGTCCTGCTCTTAGAAATGTCGTAACCGAGTCCAGATCCAGCAGAGGCCCAACTGATTTGGATTTTTGCTCATTGTGGCCTAAGTCGTTGATCATACGTTACCGCAGCTGCTGAAATTTGTGCTTTTGTTCTGTCTCTTGCTCACTATTTTGGCAGATGGCCACGTGGGGGTATCGCTGCAATTTGAGAGCGGCTACTTTGTAGAGACACTTGTTGAGGGTGACAAGCTTGGTGTCACGCCTCACACCATCAGAGTGTCTCCTGTTGAGGGCGGGGAGCTCCTTGCAGTCGACTCGGCACATAGCAACATTGTGCGGATAACCCCACCACTTTCTGAGTGTATGTCCTCTTCCTGCCACCTCGGTTATGTGCTTGCTTGGTTCTTTTTTGGCATAACACACAGTTAACATGATTATGGGTTAAGAACAAACTATAGCATTTTGAGCCAGCTTTCTTTCACATACTAGTAGTAATATCCATGCATACAAAATATTTTTTTTATTGTGTTCTTCTCAAGTACTAGGGCTACACTCTTACTAGCAAATGTTGAATAACTGATCTTTCCAATGTAATATCACTCTGTCCTTAAAAGACTCCCTGCAAACTTGGCGATTCGGAAGATTGGAGAATCAGGTGATCGGTAGTTAAATAGATATACACCATGCAATAGTTGTGTTAAGTGTTAACAGTTGGTGAATGAAAATTATGTTCAGGAGTGACCACCATTGCGGGTGGGAAATCAAATATCCCTGGCTACAGGGATGGCCCCAGTGAAGATGCGAAGTTCTCTACAGATTTTGACGTGGTGTATGTGAAGAAAATGTGCTCTCTTCTGGTTATTGACCGTGGAAATGCAGCCCTTAGGAAGATTTCTCTTCCACAAGAAGACTGTACTTACCAGGATTCTGCACTCCTATCTTCAGGTTCATTCTCTTTCACTTGTTTCTGTTTCCTGTACAGTACATATAGACGTGTCTGATAAGGAAAGGTAACGATCCAACTCATCAATTGTCACGTTCTTGAGGTGATGAGGTCCTAGAGGAAAGGCTTATACCGATATGGTTAGTTGTAGAACAGAAGTAAAAATCTATCAAATGTTGTGCTTAAACCTTTTCATGGTCCTGTACTGGATTATTATCCATGATACTAAACATAGGGGTTGAACAGGTAGAATAGTAATCCTTCGGTACTTTGTATTTACAATTACATCTTTCCCTTTTGGGATCATTTTTTTTCAAGTCCACTGGATTATACTTTCTCGGCTTCAGTAGCTGGTCACAGTGTCGCACACTAAGACCTCCCATATGGAAGTAACAGACATTCAGACTATGAATGTCTTCTAAAACTGAGGTGGCATGATTGGAGTTAAATTAGAAGGTTGAACAAATCAAGAAATGCAAAAGTCAGATTGTGACTTATAAACCATGTCTAGTATGCTATACATAATACTATATGATCCATGGTAGAAATGATACACTTTATTCTTTATATGCCAGAAGTATAACTCTCCATGCTATATGCTCTGCCATAAAGCTAACTAACACTTGTATGCTGTTGCCATAATTTTGTTGCGAGTCTAGGGTTCAAGTAGATGTGAGAAGAACATTTTGCTTGAAAGGCAAAGTAAAAGAAGAATTCTGGTAGTGTTTATGTGTCGTTTAGTATATGAGGTACAAGAACTGGTAGTACTGCCGTGTTGGTCCCCTTCTCCTTTTCCTTTTGTTTCTGATGCTGTAAAGCTATCTTTCCATGCCCTACTTGATGGCTAAACTAATGGTCCTGATAGATCAGTTTAGGAAAACTGGGATGACATCTGTGCTAATGTGTCTCTTGGTTGTGAAATGTCTTATTTGAAGTTCTTTTATACATATAGATATTCACCTTTTAAAATTCTTCTGGCCCTCTTTAATTAGTCATGATGTAGATGCAATATCCCTTTCACACCCTTTTAGAAGAACATAGATGAGAAGACCACTTTCTCCCTTTCAGAATAGCATTGATGGCATCAATGGCATGCTTACTTTCTCATCCTTTTAGAAGAACATGTTAAACCATTCTTTCCATTCACGTCTGTTTTGAATAGTATCAAAGAGGTCATAGGTGCACATGCTATATTTTGATTTTAACCTGAAAGTATTAGTGGACTGTAACATGGGATAATTGGATCTACCATATCCCTGTATCTTACATGTTGAGATTTATCTGCAAAAATCCTGTCTTCTTTGTCTGAGTTCTTAGTTCTGTTTGTCTACCATAAATTTTGTTATCGCTGGATACCATACATGTAGTTATCTGAATATCGATCTTTTTCATTACTCCTTCAAATTGTCCATGTACTTGATTCGTGATTAATTTCATGCTGATTATGTCTGGCAAATGTATCAGTATTGATGGGTAGTAATTCACTTGTCCGTGTGCTTGGGGCATGTTTGGTTTGCTCTCCACCCTGGCCCAGGCAGCGCTCCCAGTCGTTCGATTTCGTCGCCTGGCAGGGCGCAATCCAAACACACCCTTGATCTACTATTTGCGAAATTCAGTTCCATACTTTATCATCAGTATTGTTTTGTTCATTTACACAGATCTCATATTGGTCATTGGTGCTGTTGTGGCTGGATATATCTTTTCTGGTTTCCAACATGGGTTTGGATTCTCAGGCTCCGAGAAGGTAGTTATTTGTGTATGCTGTCCCTGTATTGTCCATTTTTACATAGATTTTTCCACTTGATATGCATATTTGTAATCTCCTTGAAGCTTGGCATCACAGTATTCCTAGTCATACTGCTTAAATAGCACCTCGTTCTTTCTCAATTTTATAATGGACTGAAAATGAAATAAATAAATATATATATATATATATATATATATCTGCTAATGTAGCAGTTTGTATCTGTTGATGCCAATGCAGGTAGAGGCACCTGAAAATGAGCAGCACGAGAGCAGCACAATTGGGAAGCCACCTCTGGTTGTGGAGAGCCTGAAAGAGGAACCAGGAGCTGGATGGCCATCCCTCGGGACGCTTATTGCTGATCTCCTGAAACTTGCTATTGAGGGAGTGGGGAAACTACTTCTCAGTGTCGTCCCTCAACGCATGCATGCAACCTGGGAAGAGGAAAACAGATCTCACTCCGCTCAGGGACAGGCTGGTGATGCCCGAGGACAGAGAGGAGACTCCAGCAGCGCAGAAGCTCAGCAGCACGCCAATGAGGCCCTAATGCTGTAACTGAGACAGCAGCAAAGGCCCAGAAGAGCACCAAGTCATCCAAGTTCAGGGATTCGACCCTGTCAAGCAAGCACAGGTCCTCTAAGAGGCAGGAATACGCAGACTTCTATGGCACCTCTGAGCCCGCCCCCGTAGGTGCCAAGGTCCCAAAGGACAGGCTCCGCCACCGTCTTCACCACCGTGAGAAGAGCGGGGAGGTCGCCTACGGGGCCGCCGCCCATCCTGAGCTGAAGCCCGCGGAAGCGAAGCCTGCTGATTACAGTGATCCGAAATGCTGCCGAGAGTGGCTACAGGTATTGACGCTAGTTGTCCTCTCCCTGCCGGCGGAACAGCGAAAGGAAATCTTTCGCCCGGCATCTATCTACCTGGCAATGTTGTTGTGTGAGCCAGCCCCCACAAGTGCAAAGCGAGGCGCAACAAAGCTGCTGCCGGCGCTGCTCATGGTATGGTAGGTGACCATGAGATTGGACAGGAACCTGGTGTGGATTGGCACCTGGCCGGTTTCAGGATGCTAAGTGTAATTTTCGCAGAGCGGCAGTTTTGATTTCGATCTGCAGTTAGATGTATCCATCCATGCCTGCCTGTGGGTTGCTTGAGCCCGAGACCAGCGGTGCGTGTCGGCACCTGACAGGAGGCGACACCTCGCGTGACAGGTAAATAACCCTTTGCTGAATCAGTGAACCGAACCCCAGGTGCTCTGCTCTGCTGCCTGGACCTGGACGCCAACTTCTAGTCTAGTTGCTGCGTTGTACCCTTGCTGTCCCTGAAAGCGAGGCCTCGTTTCCGTTTCGGTCTGGTCCAGTTCTGCCAAAGCTGTAACCATCCAAGGTCGACCTGGCGCCGAAAGAAGCGAGGCTCAGGCCGGCTTGGCTGTGTGTAGTCTCCGTTGTAGTACGTTCCATGGCGTGCCCAGCTTTGGTGGCATCGATCGGCATGGCAAGTGGACGGGAGAAGAATTCCGAGGTCGCGAGTGGTGGGCAGTCAAAGGGGTCTCTTTGGGACGGGGGCTCCAGGTCCAAAGGTAGGCCGGACTGGTGAGCTGGACCTGGACGCGATGTGTAGGCCGTTACGTGGACCCGTCTGTCTATCGCGACTTTTGTTTGGCATCAATCATGTAGCTGGACGCCCACTCTCTTGGTTGGGAGTCGTGTGATTGCAACCTTCCCACCCAAAACCCAAATCGGCGGTGGTGGTCCTCTCCAGCTCCTCGGATCCTCTCTTCTCTTCAGACAGCCATGCATGAACACAAGATGAATAGATAGGTCTCATCCAAGGCCTTGTTTAGTTTACGGTTAGGAATCAGTATTCGGCACTGTAGTACTTTCGTTTGTATTTAACAATTATTGTCTAATCATGGTCTAACTAGGCTCAAAAGATTCGTCTCGTAATTTACAATTAAACTGTGTAATTAGTTATTTTTTATCTACATTTAATACTCCATGCATGTGTCAAAGATTTGATGTGATGGAGAGAGAGTAAAAAAACTTGGAATCTAAATCTAAACAAGGCCCAAATGTTGGTATGCACGACGTCTAGCCCTATTTTTTTAGAAGAGCCGAAGGAGCTGTCGCTGGCGAGTTGGAAAGGTGTAGCGGGCATTCAAAAAAACAGTTTCCCCTTCGTTGTTGTGGTGAAAAAATTGGCCGGCCACCACTGCGCGACGAGGATAGGAGGAAAACCTGGGTTCCAAAGTGCGCTGGCTGCTGTCAGCCGGGCATGAAACCTGCGACGCAGGAGTAGGTTGATGGATGCATTGTCGCTTGGGCTAAGCTCCAGTGCTCAAGTCAAGTCAAGCGGGTTGGTGGCATGGGGATTTGGAATTTGCTGCCGTGACGCGTGACGGCGGCGCATTTCACACCGCACATGGCTGCTGCGCGCGCTGTCCGTCAGTCAGAACACGACGAGCTTGCGTCTCGCCCGTCTCCCGTGTAAAAATTAGCTAACCATTGTGGCAAAGGACTGCGTGCTACTACTTTGGCTTCATCCTTGTTCACAGCTGATCTCATGGCTTCGTACGTCCTCTCGACGAATTTTTGTCGGTTGGTCCTAGGTTCTGCTCGCTCCGGTAATCTGTCCTTGGCAATGACGACCGGTTGTTGCGGTTCGTCCATCCTGGAGAAACCGTGTTCACATCATCGTACTAATCGAGCCGTCCCTGATTCGCTAATGAATGGTCATTCAGACGTAAGTCTAGCATCACCGTGTAACTGTTGACGTTGAATGTGATCCAAGCCAACACACCAGCTAGAGCCGACGCCCAAACAACCTGCAATGCAACGAGAAAGCAGCGTAATCGATCAAACCGATCTAGAGACGTGTAAGACCAATGTAAAGTCCGTTCTTGACCGAAAAAGCTTCCAAACTTCTCCCGGAAGAATCCGTCGGAGAAGAACACGTAGAGAATCTCCTAGAATCAACAAGGACGCCTAGGATGCCGACAAATCTCGCCGGAAGACGTGCCGTCGTGCCGAACAGCAGAAGGGGTTGAGAGAGAAGTAAATGGGCAAAAGGAGTTGATAGATTGTTTTTTGACGATTGGATAGATAGGAACTCAATCGCCCATGATCCTCTCATATAGGCCTTGTTTATTTCCTTCCCCTAAAGTTTAGTCTCTATCACATCGGATATATGACACATGCATGGAGTATTAAATATAGACTAAAAAATAACTAATTACACAGATTGCGACTACTTTGCGAAACGAAATTTTTAACCCTAATTAGTCCATGATTTGATAATGTGGTGTTATAGTAAAGCTACGGTAACATGTGCTAACGACGGGTTAATTAGGCTTAATAAATTTATCTCGTGGATTCCTGAGGACTTCTATAATTTGTTTTATTATTAGTATCCGAACACTCTCTTGTGACACCCGATATGACATCCCTAAACTTTAGCCCCTGGATTTAAACACCACCATAGAAGGGTGGTCTTATTCTAATAGGAAACATCTATAAACCTTATTTTCCAAGTTTCCCACGAGTTTGGAATAGTTCGGATCAGAATCCAAACTTCCAGCAGTGGAGCATCTTCCTGGGGGCATAACTCCTTCGTTCAGACTCTGAATTGAACGTTCAATATATGTTTCTTTTACCATCTTGACGAGAGGAATGTAATGGTGAGGTCTGTTTCTCATTTTAACAACTTCACAAAATGGACAATTTTGGTTGTCAACAGTAACTTTTAGCCCATTTACAACTCTACGTGCGTTTTATTCTCCAGTCTCTTGTTTTGCGCAGTATATGTTGGCGAGTGTTAACCGCACCCAAAACCTTTGGCACGCGGCAGCCTCTACCCAGTGTGAATGTGTCGGTGTGTTGTCAATCGGCAAATGAATTTATACGTGTGTCGTGCTGCACTAGGAAGACGATTGTAGCATCCAAAGACACAAGAAATTATACTGGTTTAGGTCAGAGCTCTACGTCTAGTCTCAGAGATAGTTCGAGTGCGTATTCCTCGGTTGAATGCTCTGAAGTTCTTACAATAGGGTATACAAGAAGAGAGATAGAGGTAGGAGAGTAGAGAGATACTGCCCGAATGAAGTCTCGAGAGTTCGTCCCCTTAGAAGGGTGTCTTGGCTGCCCTTATATAGAGTCCGGGGCCAGGTTACATACAGAAAGATAGGTTCTCCTGACCGAGTGGTCGTGAGCCTGAGGGAGGGGAAACTAGCTATCTTAGCTTGCAAGGAAGGTTGTCTTGTCTTGGCGTCAGCGTACGTCCGGGCGTGGTTGTCGTCATGGTCTTGTGCCCATGTCGCAGCATGGTGTGGCGTGATGCGACAGTACCGGTGGTGTCGGCGTTGTTGGGATAGTGGAGGTTCGCCAACTGTCCTGTGCGACATGGTCTCGCCGTGGCCTTCATCATCGTCTCCTGTTCTTCAGGGGGCATCATGGCGACAGTGAGGGAGTAGGTAGCTATCACCGGGTCATTGGTCACCGTTGCAGGTCGTAGAGCCGGTGGCCTCGATCTCAAGCTGTGGGGTCGAGGCCCTCGCTGGCTTGGTTGGCCTTGGAAGTCAAGACCATAGCTGTGAGTCCCATCCCGTAGTGGGTGGGGCCATACGCCAGTCCCATCGGGCCCTATTTGGACGATAGACCGTACCGGTCGTCACCGCCTGACGGTGCTGTCTTGTCTGCGTAGCGTGGCGCAGATATGGCATCTGTTCGGACCGAGGCTACCCCCTCGGTCCTAATGGAGTGAGCAGGGCGTGCCTGCTCTTGTCAGAGCAGGCGTACCTAGTGGAGCTCTACCTCTCCCCGTTCCTTCCGGGGGTTGGGACGGAGGAGAGGTCGTGCGACGCTGGGTTGTGTGTAGTGAAAGAAGAAGCGAGAGGTCGTGGTCGACCCCTCGCCTTAGTGCTTGGCCCAGGTCCGCGCGGCTCAGATGGGCCACGGTTTCTATGCCTGTGCTAGCTTGGTTATCATGGGCCACCTGAGCGGCTAACCAATCGGTGTCTTGAGATACTTGGGGTATCATAACCTCGATAGAATGAATATTGAATAGAGCGTAGAATGGCATGGAAACCACTCTGTGGGCAATAATCAAATTCACGGTCCATCAACTATTACAGCGTACAGTATTTGTAGTACATACGGGTAGTCGTCATTCACAAATTACACAATCCCTACTCTCCCTGAATCATTTTGGAGTCACGTTAAGGACAGTTTGGGCCAAGAAACCGGAGCCACAAAAAGTGACTCCTTAAGTGCTCCGGCTTCTTTGGAGAAGCACTTGAGGAGGAGCGGTGCCAAACGGGCCTAAAACAACCCGTATTTTGGAATAGAGGGAGTAGCTACGAGGATTTGAAACAACTATATTATTCTCAACAGTTTGATGCACACAAAGACTAATACGCAGAAATGAGGAATTGCGAAGACTAGACAAGCAGAGTAGTCGTACACCATTGGCACGACAAAACAAACACTTACAACAGGTAGATGCTCGCCAGATGATTTGAAAACCCCCCAAAAGGACAACAGGCGGGAGGCGCGGCCATGCATGATCCATCTCAATAGGCATGCATGCCAAGTAAGGTGGACCATGGTAGTACCTAGGCCGTTGGTCCCGAAAGACTTTGGTTTAGAATGATACTAAATATATTTTAAATTAGAGTTCGTTTGACTTTTTTGACTATAAGTTTGACCACTTATCTTATTCAAAAATTTATGCTAAATATTACTTCTTTTGTTGTGGCTTGTTTTATTAACCAAAGTTTTTTAAGAATGACTTAGATTTAACTATATTTGCACATATTTTTTGAATAAGACGAGCGATCAAATTTGAGGTAAAAAAAAAGTCAAATGAATTATAATTTACAACGGGAGTACTCCATTGATAAAAATCCGTTGGCTCGATCGGCAAGGAAACGGCAACGGGCAACGGCTGCCAAGCACTCGATGACACGAGCAGCCTGAGGAGCACAAAACCCGTGTCGTCCAGCCTCCATCTCTCGCATGATATCATTCATCGCCACTGCTTACGTAATGACACGGCGTTTTCTCCTGCACTATACATACGTAATGTATCCACTGTCCACCACAGGAAACAAAAGCACGCGGAGTTTGTTAGCGTTTCCTTGTTTCCGCTGGGATCATCG